TTTTGCAGAGCTTCAGCTCCAGCTCTCTCTGCCCACAAAGAATAGTAATGAGCACCTTATTGAGGAATAAGCTGCTCTAAGGGTAGTACCGACTGCATGATGTTCTCGGTCGTAGCTGTGTCTGAAATAAGCGGAAGCACGCCCATCGAATTACTAGCATTTGAACGAAAGAAAATGTGGGTGAGAAACAACAATCAAGTGTTACAACCGCAAAGAAGGAAATTGAGGACAATACCTTGGAACAACGGCAATCACTGGAAGGAGGGACAGTAGACGTTTGGCCCGGCTAATAAGAAACTTAAAAGAATGGGCTAAAAGGATACATGATGACATGAAATTATGTTACTGTGATGTTATCCCGGCAAAATCATATCAAAGATATGTATATTTTTATAAAATGAGAAAAGTCGAAAAACCGTACTGTCTTGTTATAGGCTGGTATAAACGAGGATAAAGCTGTAATACCGAAATAGACTGCCCACTTTGGTTGGCCCCTAGTTGCGACAACATCACGGCTATCATGCTTCAAAACAAACTAAACTGAAAGAACATGAAACATTACATAGAACACGTATTGCGAATATTTAATGCCAGCACGATGTATTGCGAAAGGGGTTCCACGGTGGGTGACGCCCCCAAGAGGAGAATTCTTTAGTGACCTGCAAGTGGCAGATAATTTTGCTGTGAGGACACAATGATGATGGAAAAGAAGCATTTTTCTCAACCAGAAAAGTATAACCGCTCAGTTAACTCAAATCAATCAGTTTATCTTTAAACGCGTTTTAACAAATGCACTAGCAAAAAATCAAATTTTGAGTACAATAATTATAATAATTTTTTGTTAATGAAGATTTAAAATTTTTAAACAATGTATACAGTGATTTGTATTGTATAACAAAATCGCCTATTTTAGGCTATTACACTAGGTGTACCCCTTAATTTAATTGAATTTTTCTCTCCGCTATGCATTTTTAACAAATGTATACACTGATTTGTATTATATACCAAAATCACCTATTTTAGGCTGTTACACTAGGTGTACCCCTTAATTTAATTGATTTTTTTTTTCAGATATGCCTAAAACTATGCAATGTTTTATCGGATGTTGATAGCAGCTGATATCATACGGTTTGTGTGTCCAAACAATAGATTACTGAAACGTTGCTTATGAGATTCATAAATGAAAAACTTACGCAATTCGATTATCAAGATGAGCGTGGCGTCGATAAGCGATATTATCGATCAGCAGTCACTCACCAGTCAGCTAGTCGACGAGAGCGGTCTGATAACCCCCACTGCATCTTCAACGTCTGCACGGCGTGTGTTGTCCGATGTTGGCGTGAGCGTCGATCACGCATCATTGTCGCAAAATTCAGCGCTAGTAGATGGGCATCGCACGCCGTCATCTTCAACGACTTCAGCTCCCTCTGCCCATAATGTCATCATAGACGATCATAATGTGGTTGCACATACAGTGGTAACAACCAGTGATGGAACGATCACAGACGTAGAAGGTGCTGGCCCCGTCGTAATGGTACGCACAATTATTGATGGCCTTAGACATAGTCCGGTACATTCGACATTTCAAACGTCAACAACTGTTTCTGCTCAAAGTCAACATGAACAACACTTGAATAGGCAGCATTTAGACAATCATCATCATCCTTTATATCAGCACCAACAGCATCATCAGCTTGTGACATCGCATCATCAGCAGCTGTTACAAATTGCAAATGGACATCAAAATCTCCAAGGTCAGCATCACAGCCAGCAAAATCAAAAAGATCGTTTACATGATGGCAGCCCTGTGAACTTTGTAGGCTCCGATGTTACTCTTGATGAATTGTCAGTTTGTTCTTCGCCAAACTCTGGCACTGTAACAAGCATTATTGATATTAAACAGGAGGACAAAGTGGTTGTAATAGAGGAGCATGACGAAGGCAGTAAGAAGATTGGTAAGCAAAGAGATGAAAATCATGGTAGCGACCGTAGAACCTTAGATGTATCTCACATTCATGTTGACGTCGGTGTGGGTGGAATCGATGATCTTTCAACGGACGCAGTGGAGGTGACATTAAATCAACATCACCACCAACATGTTCAATTACATCAACAGCAATTGCTGCACCATCACTATGTGAGTGCTGGAGGTAGTAAAAATGGGAGCAATTCGATGTCGCAGAATTCCCATGAGAGTTTACATGATCGTCAGCAGTCACATCATTGTCATCAGGTTGGCGTGTCAAATAACAACTATAGAAATACGCTTTCTGCACCACAGACAAGTGATCATCAAGCATCGCATCATGAAACTTTGACAGTAATTGTGCAACAACATGAAGATTCCCGCGACTCGGCTTCTCACATGCTTAGTCCAGAGCTAGGTGCTGTAGACGAAAACTCTCTACAACCGACTTCTTATCAAACTTTGACATCGGTGAATGAGCGCATTTCTCCGCCCAGCTTTAGCCCAACATCTTCATATGCGACATTGACACCATTGCAACCATTACCACCTATATCAACAATGTCGGATAAGTTTGCTTACGGTGGCCATATAAATGGCGTCGGTGGTAATTGTGTTGGAGGTGGTGCTGGTAGTAATAGCAATTCCTCATCGAGTGGGGTTGGGCCATTTGCAGTAATGCCGCATCAGGGCAGTCTGGGTGGTCTTTGTTTAAGCAGCCTTAGTGGAGTACAATCGCCATATTCTTCTTATGATAAGCTACCATCAATAGGTATGTCAATGTCACCACCACACAATTATGGTGCCTCACCATCGCATACTTTATCGGGCATGGTGGTAGCGTGTGAATTACATACTGCATCGCCAAGCCCATGTGGTGCTCTCTCTCCACAATCTGTATATAGCCATTCTACTGAATTACACTCTCCTACGCTGTCGTCTACCTGTAAAACAACTACCGATGGCATTATCGCTAACAATGTCTGCGGTAACACCAATCTTACTACTGGGACAAAATCTCTTCATGTTAGCCAGTCTGATTCACAAAATCATGTTATATGTCTTTCCCAACCTGTAACTATTGGAAATGGAACGGTGGTTGAGGAAAATCTTGTTGTAACGAGTTACGAATCACCATACAGGATACATCAGCGGGATCTCTTGGTGACTTCAACACCATCGTCCTCCTCCACATCCGGTGAACGAAGTTCCCATTTGCAATTACAGCACAGCCCTATTTTGAGTCCACATTCCGTGTCAGCTGGTTCAGTATCATTAAATTCTCCTGGAAGCTGTAGTATGATCAATCAACCTGTCGTAACATTGCCGCCCATAAATGGAGCAATGGCAACTTTATCCGCTGCTTCGCTAGGCGGTGGAGATATTCCTGACATTACTGTACAAGATGCTGTTGCAGTATCGCTTACACCATCGCCTCCGCCAAACGATATGATGGGAACAGCTACAACTCTTTTAACCATCCATCAACCCATGGGTCATGCGCATTCACAACAGCAACATTTAGTCACTGTAACATCACAACAGCACCACATTGGCAAACAGTCACATCCTGTAACCAGCGACTGCAACTTAAATGTTAGCAGCAATAGCTTACGTCTCTCCAGTGTAATGGGTGGACAAAATTTGCTTAGCAACAACAATACTTTGTGCAATATGGGACAGCCGCAGCGCCAACTTTCTCAACAGCATTCTCAAAGTGATCAACAACAACAGCACTTACAAGTTAATATCCAACATTTAACAACTAGTAATAATGGCAGTAACAGTTCGAGTGGATCTAGTGGTTGCAATACAACAGGTGGCGGTGGCAGTACGTGTAGTAGCAGTGGGGGAGCAAGCGGCAGTGCTGGCATTGAAAGTGGAGGAAGTGGTGCTCTCGCCAGCAGTGCCGATATGGAGGAAATCAATACTAAAGAGCTGGCCCAGCGCATATCTGCAGAATTGAAACGATATAGTATTCCGCAGGCAATATTTGCACAGCGCGTGCTTTGTCGTTCGCAAGGTACACTCTCCGATCTCCTGCGTAACCCTAAGCCTTGGTCAAAACTCAAGTCCGGCCGCGAGACTTTCCGACGTATGTTCAAATGGTTACAAGAACCAGAGTTTCAACGAATGTCAGCCCTACGGATGGCAGCAGCACAGATACCCCAACGCAGCAGCACCAGCAATAATAGCGGCCAAGTGAGCAATTCAACTAGTGTTGGTACAAACAATGTTATCGTTTCAAATATATCCAATTGTGGTAAATACAAATGAGCCATCGTATTTCTTAGTTTGTTTATTAACTTTGCCTTTAACATTACAGGTAATGTTAGCGGAAATGGAGTGTGCCGTCGTAAAGAAGAGCCTCATATAGATCATATGCCCCAACCAAAGAAGCCGAGACTTGTATTTACTGATCTGCAGAGACGAACACTTCAAGCAATATTTAAAGTGAGTTTACACTTTTTACATTTGGATTTTTGTGTGTTTATGTTATTGTGAATTTATTCCAGGAAACAAAGAGGCCTTCGAAAGAGATGCAAGTTACAATTGCTCGTCAATTGGGATTAGAACCGACCACGGTAGGGAATTTCTTTATGAATGCACGTCGTCGTTCTATGGATAAATGGCGCGATGATGATTCAATAAGTTTAGGCATGCATCGTTATAATATCAGTGGCAACGGAAATAATCGTTTAAGTAATAATAATAGCAATAATAATCACCGCAACCAATATCAGCATTCACATCAACATCATCAATCGCATTCACTAGATTTAGATGATGATGCTGATATGGACTTGGACTTGGGCCATGATGATTTCGACCTAGAAGGTGAACACGATAATGATCCAGCTAATCACGATATGTTGTGACACCATACAGAGAAGATAATCAAAGAAGAACCGCAACGACATCATCGACAGCAAGGGAAAAAAAATCAGCCCATACAGCAGAAACAGCCAAACAAAATAAAACAGCAGCTGAAGAAATTTAAAAACAGAAGCCATCAGCAAATACTTAACAAAAACACGTACATAAGCGATATGCCATCATTGCAACATTCACACGACTTGCGTTACAAACGTTATGAGCGTATGCATGCAAGGACGGGTAGAATATCCACTTCAGTTCCGTCCTTTAACTCTGCGGTATCAGTAGTACCTTCCGCTGAAATTATTTTGATCAATAAGAATTTGAATAATCTTAGGACCCAAAGTAAACCATGCATAACGAATAGAACTACAGCAGCTATTGTTGTCGAAGATATGTGCGGCATTGAATCGGAAAACACCACCGTTGTTTTAGAGACCAATTTAAGTAATTCTTTAGTACGTAATGATGCATTGAATGAGTCCCTGTCAAATTGGGAGTCGAAGAGCCAAGCTGATGAAAATAAAGCAATTGGCTTTAAACCGAAATACGCTTATAGAGAACGCAACAATAATGTGCAAAACAGTCAACCTAGGGAAACTCCAAATAGTTTCGACAATAATTGTAGTGACGGTAAGAAACGATTGAGCTTTAAATCTGAAAATTTCTTAAGGCATATTGACACCGAAGAGAGCTACTCAGAAAGAAATGGCATCAATATTGTTCAAAGTACTATCATCGAGGATTCCGATTTTCGGAATGCAACGCAATTCATGACAACGGACTTAGTCGAACATTCAATAAATAGTAGTAGTATCGATCAATTTCTTTTACCATCGGGAGGCGATTCAGATTGCAGTAATCTGGCAAAGCACCTTGCAGTTGCTGTTAGAGGTTGTGATGATAACAGACATGAAGGAAATGCTAACAACTTCAGTGCTGCCGAAATCCATAACGCTAATGACTTCGAAGGAAGTGGGAATGAAAACGTCAATGGTAATGCGGTCGTTCAGAGCATTGTGAACAAAGTACTAACCGAATTTGTCCTTGAAAATGACGTTTCAGGTGATATACTCATAAGTAGTTGTAACTCGGAGATAGCTGAGCACATTGAAAGAGACACTGTTGGGTGCTGTATTCTTAACACAAATGAGAAAATACAAAATTTGGTAGAAAAAGCTGTAATATCATACGATCAAGAATTTCAGCTGGCACATAATTCAGATGTGGACACTGATTATAGCCAATCGATGTCGAAAAACTCGGTAAAATGTAATCAAGGGAGTGATTATTCACCAATTGCTGAGCGTAACGTGCATGAGGTTGATGACGAAACCATTATATCTGCACATAGTGTGCTAGAATCTGCTGACCAACAAACAATCGCGGAGATATCGAGTAGTAATGGTATTTGTGTTGAATACAAACTGATGCCAAAATATATGGTATATATGGAGTCAAAGCAGTCACTAAGTCCAAATCAACAGCAGCAACATCAAAAGCTGGCCTCGTCGCAACGTATAATTAAGACGAATGCTGAAAATGCTGGCCACGCTTTGTATAATGTTCTCAACAATGGCATTGATGTAAAACATGTGCAGAAATTCGAAAGCATAAGTGGCTTCGATGATTCGTTGATACATTAAAGGACGCAACGCGGGCAATTACATTCGCTACGAAACAACAAGTTAAGCGATAATGAAAACAGCATGGGAACAGGTATACCGATTTGTGTGAGCAACATAAATATGAGCGATTAAGGGCCGAATTCACAGTTATTAGTTAATCATTGGCATTTTCATTGGGGTGGTTTTTTTACGTGGCGGGTCCCAAACCCAGCGCACAACCCTACGCAGGGAATGTTTCGCCTTCTCACTTTAGCTCACCTTCAAACGGATGTTCTTAGGCTACCCAGAGGATAATTGGTCAAGGACCGGAAGTCGTGAGCTGCTTGAGTCATATGTAAAAGAATCGTTTCTGGCCACTCCCACGTGAATGGCGATCAGAAAACTTTCCTCACTTGCGTGAACTTCGACACATGACTCCATCCTCCAGCGAAAAAAAGAAACGACTGGCGCGCTGTTGTTAACTCGGCTATAATCGCGTAAGCGGTGTCTACGCCAATCAAGAAGAAGAAGAAGTTAATCATTGGTAAACTAAAATGTTAATTATTGGTTAACTAGTACTTATTACGTGTGTATATTCATTTCGCAGAAGTGCAATATGATGTCATACTACCCCGACAACTTTTGATACTGTGGTTTGTGAAAAATAGAAAAAAGTTTCGACTAGGGCTATGTACATATATATATAAATGATTATAATAACGAGACGAGCTGAAATCAAGTTGTTTGTCTGTCTGTGGGCCGTCCGTCCATACAAGCTGTAACTTGAGTAAAAATGAAGATATCTTGATGAACATGGTACAACTTTGGTATTGTAGGTGGACGTAAACGGATTACAAAAACGTCATTAATCGAAAAGGTATACATTGCCATAATTAAGCCGTAAATTAAGATGAACTCAAATTTGGCACAACACATCACATAAGGAGGATAGGTGTCCCTCCTTTGGTTTGAAATTTTTTTAAAGTGGGCTGTAAAGCTGTATCGCCCAAATTTATACAGTACAAATTTTTTACCCTCTTTACGATAGTGTGAAAATAGGCAAAATTTGATGATAATACTGATCACTCCCTCTATAACAGTTTTATTAAAAACGACTAAATATAAAGTAAATCAATAACTAAATGAATGAGACACATTAAATTTTATATTTAATATGGCATCTTGAGGCCTATTGGACCGAATATAAGGTAACCAGTGCCTATAATTGACTTTTTTTCTGAAAATATCGGTCCAGATGTGATTTAATTTCTTAGAGATATAGTATGTTTGAATGTTGACTGCCATGTTAATAGTATGTAGTATTAGCTAAAATAGATAAAATCGATTGATATATTCCTATCTCCGATCATTGCCGGATATGATCCTTGCAAGTTGCAAGAGTAGGTTGCACCCGAACTTGGCGCTTTCTTACTTGTTTTTTTTAAAATAAATTTAAAAAAAATTGACATATTTTAAATGAAACACTCTTGTGAAACTTCAATTTTATGGAGTAACGCAGAGTTTTCAGTTTCAGCCAAATTATCATAAGACATATTACATCTATGAATGAAAATAGGCAAAATCGGATGATAACGCTACTCATTACCTCTATAACAGTGTTACTAAAAACTACTAAAAACAACTTAAATGAATAACTAAATGAATGAGACGCATTAAATTATATATGTACATACTTGATACGGTATCTCGAGGCCTATTCGACCGAATATGAGAAAACCAGTGCCTATAATTGACTTTTTTTGAAAATATCGGTGTGTGTGTGATATATAATTTAATTTCTGAGAGATTTAGTATGTCTGAATGTTGGCTGTCATGTTAATAGTATGTAGTATTAGCTAAAATAGATAAAATCGTTTGATATATTCCTATCTTTGATCATTCCCGGATGTGATCCTTGCAAGTTGCAAGAGTATAAAATATGGGTTGCACCCGAACTTAGCCCTTTCTTACTTGTTTTTTTTTTTATTAAATTAAAAAAAAAATTAACATATCTTCAATTAAACACTCTACAGAAACTTCAATTTTATGGAGACGCAAAATTTTCAGTTTTAGTTAAATAATCATAAGACATATTACATCTTACTATCCGATATTAAGATTTAGGTGTTTCTTCTGATCAACAGTTGAATATTTGTTTTTATAGTATGGGGGAAGAATCGTAAGCCGCAGTGAGGAACTTTAATTCGCTAAAACTCACCTAATCCGAACTCAAGATTCTTTCATGGAACTTCTGGATAAAGTATTACCTCGTGTGAGTGACAAGACATTTTATGTCTCCTCTGACGGACAGCTAATCTGATGAAAGGGCCTTAATTTTGTCATTATTAAAGCTGAAACTTTGCTGATAGCGTTTCATTTCCCATTGAACTGACACATGAGTGTCGACAAATTTTTGACGTGAAAGCGCCACTAAGAGTAGTATCAGCCTGCGGTTTCACTTCAGTATCGTCAGTTGATATAATATGGAAAGCACTCATTAGTCGTATTGCAGAAAACTGTTACACTATGTTTATTATTTCGCTTACAATATTACGAAGCTCATAACTTTTGCGATTCGAAATTTTCGGCTGAACGCATATAGCCTATGTTTACCATCATTCTTAAAAAAACGTTATAGACTTTTTTTTTTCATGGTGTCTCCCCAGTTACTCCTTGAATTTAAATCTTGTGGCTGCGAAGTAATCTTGCTTTCTGCCATGGTGAGCCATATGCATTTTTTCACCGTCCTCGTAACTTACCACAATGCTTAACTTACCACATATGTCATCCTTGGCGTTCTAAATATACGCCGAACGATAATGGGAATTAAGTATGCTCATAATTTCTGTTCAATGTTATTTAATGCTGCAGACATTCACTATGCCTCTTGAGCATATTTTTCTCCAAGTACAACTAAGGTTCCAGAATAGTTCCACAAACTTTGACATAATACTAGTTATGCCCTGAATCTACCCTAGATTTACTTTGCCACGAAGATTGCAACATCCAGTGAAAACGTCGAAGACCTTATAAAATTTATGCAGTCGTTGTACGGAAATTTTTTGAATTCGACGAGATTAGTATGGATTATTTTCGAATGCAATGATAGTTCGAAGAATTTCTTCAGACCAAAGTACTACAGACCGATCGGAATCAGGATAGATATCTTCATATGCTCTTTTATGCTATAAGAGAATGCACCTGTGAAAGGAATTATAGCTCCGGTGCAGCCAAAGTGAGCTTTTTTCTTGTTTGTTAGATACAACTTAATATTTGTTGTAAGAAATTCAATATATATATGTACATATATATGTATATATATTGGGGTGTTTTTTTGAATTATTTTTTTTTTTCAGTTCCGTCACAAAATTTCCTTGGAAATACCCTAAAACAAAAATCCCTGACAATTTTAGCCCTTAATATT